ACAGACATTCTCATACACTTGCATGCTAAAGTAAGTAATAAAAAAAAAAAACGAAAACGCGAAGACCCATCCCGCTGCTGCGGTTCAATAAACGTAGCTGACTACTTACTAGCAGCCAGGCACAGGGAAGGACAGAAAGCCTGAGTTGTACCAAAGTCAATGCTGATTGCAAAGGTATCGATGAGCTAACAAACAAACACACACACATATCCGCACAAGCAGAAAAAGACGAAACTCCAACAACAACCATACAAAAGAAAGAAAAAACAAGCAAATCGATACAAACTACTCTTGGGCGCTCTCAAAATCTTTTGGGGCTACGAAAACCCAATTTTTTTTGTTGTTTACCCTCGCAGCGAGAAAAAAATCGAGCCACAAAAATTATTAATAAATCCTATGCGCGCAGGTCTTCGCTCGCCACTGCCCCCTGGAGCAGAGCATTGGAGACTGACACAGGCAGCCGGACGTAGTCGGACTTGCACGCGCAGATACTTGATTGTGGCTACACAGCCACAGTGTTGAGAGAGTTATGTTAGTGCTGGTGGAAATAAGAAACGCAGTGAAGGTGGATGGGACGAATCGCGCGAATCGCAAGCAAAGAAAGTGTGAGATATTTGCACTTGTCTCAAGCTGCGGTGTTTTGTTTGTCTGGAGTTAGGTTGGGTTAGCCTCTTTCTTATGAAAAGTTCGCCCAGTCGAAACAGAGGCCCATTGTGGTAGATATCTGCAGACCTATCCATGCATGTTCTTAAACCACACCGATTTTGAAGACCAACTCCAAAGAGAAACTCTTCGCAAGCTGTTCGGGTCTTGGAAGAATTGATAGCTCAGTAATCTGAATCTTCTCTGATTTGTGGCGTGCGCCTTGATGTTGTCACACGTAGGGGAGGACCAGCGATCGATCCTTGGTCTTAGTAGTGGGTAGTGTGCATTCGCATAGGAAGTGTCATGTGGACAACTGACCAGTGGCTCGCTAGAAAATATGCGTACATTTAGTTTAGAACGCCTCAGCAAGCTCCTTTGTTCATCGATGTATTGCCAAGGCGAATGCAACACTTTTGTTGTATCCAGATTAATCCACCAGCTATTAGTAACTGCCCTGGCTTTCCACTCAACTTGTGCGTGCCGGAATATCTGAGTGGCTGGCTTTTCTCGCGCGTTCATCCGTTAGCTCACTTCCGAAACTCCATTATGTTCCAGGACTCAGTATGGATTGACGATGTCTTGCCTCCGAGAGATTTTATAGGTATTCAGAACTAGCTACTTGATTGTCTAAAATGAAAGTGAGTTTTGTAGGAGTGAGCTCCATCAGCTTGGCAATTATATAGATTTCATTTCAGCCAACATTTGTCTGAATGAGATTTAGCCTATCCGTTAGCTTCATACTTTCTCAGTAAAATTACGTTTGCTTCTTCATCCAGATACAATAATTTCATCGAAAGAAGAAGCTCCATGACAGTCCAATCAAAGTTCCTTTGGCTATAAATTCCTGTGCAGCCCTTTTCTTGGCTAGAATATCTTCCACCACACTGCACATGAGTCTAATAGGTCCCGATACCCAAATAAGGTAAATCGGGTTACTGGATGCGATGAGTGATACCGAGATGAAGGTAATCCCACACCAAAATTGAGGTGACTTTGTATGCTTTTAGCGCAAGAATAGTCTGTTTAGGGTGGCAATGTCAAACTCGTAGCCCCTAATTTCGAAGCTTCTTTCACTAAGAAGGCAGAGAGAGAGGCACCACAACAGAGGAGGGATCACTTCATCTTGCGGATATCCTTTCGTACAAAACTTGGGCAGACAGAAGACATCCCGAACTAAGGTTCCGGTTTTGTCACATTTTTCAAAATATTCCTCTGTGGATTTACTCCAGACTCCTCCTTTTTCTTGCTAACCCCTTGGCGTTGGTCTAATCTTACTACCGCTACACGAGGGTAGCGATGGTTTAGGTCAATGAGAAATTCCAGAGTAATTTTTTAATAAGATAGATCTATCCTAATTTTGATTGAAAGGCCACGCAGGCTTAAAGGTCCGCGAGAAACTCGAAAGAGTCGAAAACCAGATACTAACAAAAGTAGTTTTTTTGAAAACTCAATGGCATTCCATTTTAAGAGATGGTCACTGTCGATGTTTAAAAACCCTAACCCCCTTCTAGGAGTGTCTAGATATGTTGTAAGTCCTCATAGGGAAGAAAATATTACACAGCAGATTGGTGTATCTACACAATCGCTTCTCCAGCCAAGTTTTAGGTTTTTGTTTTATCAATTTCCAATATCAAAACATACCACCGTGCAATAAGAGGCACACAATCAGCCAAAATGCCGAAATATTTCCGCTCGCTCCGTTAAGGAGTAGGCAGACGCAGCAGGTATCCAATGAAGCTTGTCTATGCCTGCCTCTAAATCTCAAAGTTATTGTTGCAACATCACCGCTAGCTCCCGCTGGACGGCAATAGCCAACTTCATACTTGTACATCTGAAGACGATGGACTGGACGAGCACCGGAGTTGCTGTGTTGGAGCTGAGACTCCGTATTTTATATGCACAGCAGCGCCATGAAGTGAGCGTAATAGTAGCAGGCAGCGCACAATTGTGCCCAGCAGAAACTGCTGGAAGCATTAGGAAATAAAATGTGGCAAATAACAACAGGGATAGCGAAGAGGTGCAGGGAAATAGGGACAGACATACTTAGTTGTAGTTGTAGTGGCAGTCAGCAAGTCAGCAAGATGCGAAACAAAACGTAGACAACGAAAAACGAGAACTCTGCACTTAAGCTACCTGCAACTGGTTTTGCATTCTAACGGATGGATGCGAACATGTGCCTGGGTGTGAGTGTGTGTGTGTTTGTGCCTTTGTTGCGGCTATGCCAGCAATAACTCCTCTACCTGCAGACGCACACTTGTATGCCGCCAGCTTAGTGGTGAAGCACTGCACAAAGTTTGGAACTATGTAGATATTCTGTGCCCTGACGTGAGGTTACCTACCTGCGCTCTGTCCTTTTGCTGCTATATCATAATGACTGACTGACTAGTCGGCTAGCTAGCTGGCTGGCTGGCTGGCTGGTTGGTTGACTGAGTGACTGACTGCTGTTGCAGTAACACTGCAGGCAAGTGCGTCGTCCTCTACAGCGCTCGCACACACTGAAGGTTCCAGACAATTGAGTTAACACTTTTTCAATTTCCTTGCCATGGCCTCCTTCGCAAAATATTTATTCTTTTCTTTCTTTTGTTTTTCAATGCTGAAAATAAAAATAAAACAATAGTCGGTTGTGAAATCATTTTTCATGACAGCAGAGATCGATTTACTCTATTTGCTTGTTGCACATATACTTACTACTAGTTTGTATGATTGGGGCTGTAAAGTGCGCCTGTGTGCCAGTGCGAACGACTTCGGGGAATGAAAAATTCTGCATGTGCAACTGTGTCAACTTTGCTTGCGCATTTTGCATTTGACAAACAAACAACAACAAAAATATAGACATTTGCAAAATATTGAATTTGTGTTTGCTCTGCAGCTCAGTGCGAAGTGTTAAGTCGATTCAGCGATGAGGCAAGTGCGGGCAAGCAGTGGCAGCAGGGTGGTAGGACGGATTTGCCGAATGCAGGAAGCTGAACTTTTGCAAAACACATCACAAAATGCCACTAGCTGAGCGCTGCATAAGCGTCGAACGCGTAGTGCTATTTGCTATTTGTTATTTGTTTTCTCTTCAGTCAGCTTTTTGTCCAGCTGAAGTGAAATCTAGGTGTAAAGCTGTCTATGTCAAGCTGTGATTGTGATTAGACTAACGAATTGTGTGTAGTTGGCAACACCTATTGCTATCTGTGTAGGTACTTACGTTCTCTTACTGTCGATTTTTTCACCGATTTCGCAAATTCTGCATTCACAGTTACATGAGGCAAAGTGAACACTTGCATAGCTCTACATCCTGCAATGTTAAGTCTTCAAAATGCCTTCAGTCTTTATTTGTTGTTCGATTCCATAAAAAAATGGCGCTTGACACGTATGAAAAATAGCAGTTTCAAAAAAACAAAACCCCGAAATGTACACAATTCGTGAGTGTTCAAATTTACACCTTCCAGCAATTCAAAGTGTGTCGGCTATTTTTAGAATTTATTGCTTACAGCTCTGTTTTTTTTTGCATGCCAAAACGGTA